TGCTCTGAACTCACTCTTCTCGGATTCCGTCACGGATGCCGACGTCTACTTCCGGCGCTCTGGCACAATATCATCGATCTGTTTCATATACAACTTCTGGCTCAGTTGGAAACTCCAGTCTGCCCTGTGCGCGATGTCAACACCACACTGCGCGGACGCCCCGCACCCCCACTCGGCCCACCTGAAAGTTCCCATGATACGCTTATTCGCCGTGGCCCACATCTCCTCATCGTCGCGCCCGGCAAACGAAGAGTCATCCACGCGAGACAGCGCCATTCCACACGCGCGTTCAGGTTGGCCAAAAGCCCCTGGTGTAGTAAGAATCCAAACGCATGGATATGATTTCTGCTGTCTCCAAGATGGCCCCAAAAGCTCCTCGCTCACGGCCCGGCGCCGCGCCCTCGGAGCCAAGGCCAAACCATAGGCAGACTTCTTGAGTTGAGCCACCTGTCATTGTCGAAAGCCTAGTGGCCCCAGGGCGAAATCCATATGGACTTTTGCACCTCGAAAGTCAATCCGTCTTGTGATTCACCTCTTGCAGGTTCAAGCCTCGGAAATCCATCGAAACTGCATTTCGGTTTCCACCCTCTGCCCTCCGCCCCGAGAAAATTCTCGGACCCCGCCTTGAAGAGAGGCCGACTCCAAATCGCCCTTCGCAACTTTCATCCTGTAGCCGGCCGCCTTCTGCTGGAGAAATTGCCCAGCTATTCTCGTCGCCGGCGGCGCATGCGACCCTTCCGCGGCCAGGTCGGGGCCCTGGGGGCCCAGCAGCGCCAACCTCGCCATCGCCGTCTTCCTGCCGGGCTCAGCGGGATCGATCTTCCACGTCAGAACCCAGCAAAGCCACATTATCCTGTCCGCCTGTACTCGCGCATGTTCCAGCACCCTTTCCTTGACCCATCCCTGCGCCTCCATCGTCTTGGCCGCCCGGAACTTGCCCGGGCCCTCCGCGGATAGGCGCTTCCCCCTTGACCTCCGCCCGTTGACGACAAAGTCGCGTTGCCACATATGCGCGTAGATCTCGGATCGCATGACCGCTCCGAGCGCCTCCAGGCATGGTGATGTCCACCTCTACAGCGTTCTCCTCCAGGTCTCAGTAGCACTCCTTTACCTCCAACTGACTCATTAACGACTCCTGGCCCTTCTCCGCGTACCTCTTCTGTCTCTCAGTGCGCCCCTTGCCGCACATGGGCCCCAGCGGGGCCTCCCGAGGTAGACCATCCTATGAATTTGGCGATATTCTCGCAGAGGGCCTCCTGGAGTTGTTAGGGGGCCTCGCTGGGGTCGCCGGGGAAGTATCTGCCTGAGAATTCGAACTTATTCTAGCTGTCGCTGGATCTGTCTCCATCACCTTCGCCTTCTGGCCACGCTCCTCTGGGCTGCATTAAACTCTTAGGAGATGTCGCGGTGGCCCAGCCGCCGTCACTGTAGGTGGAGGCGGTGATGTCGCTGCGTCCTCGTAATCCTTGTCGTTCGGAACGCAGCGCCGGTCCTCCGCCAAATCCTCATATTGGCCAAGTCTGAGATTGCCCGTCATGCCGTTGAAAGTCCATGTTAGCTCAGTTCGGCGCGTGATCCCCCGAGGCATCTCTGAGTTGGGAAGGGGTCACATCGTAGAAGGTGCCACGCGAATGGAGCCACACTCGAGGTGTTGCATGAACCTCGCCGTTGAGATGGACAGTCTCACTTGCCCATGCCCGCGCAGGCCCATGGAATCTCCTCGTCAAAGAACTGCTCTTCGGATTCCTGAAGTAGCACACCAGCGCCCCGGGAGCAAAGACCTGCGTCGCCCTGGACCTGGCATGGGCGGCGCGACGGGCTCGCCCCGAAGATACCTGACGAAGGAATGCCTCCTGCGCCTTCCTCGTGAGCTCGACATTGCCCAAACTCAACGCCCACTGCTTCTGGCTCCAGGGCAAGGAGGTTCGTCGGGCCACCTGGAAAATCGGCAAAAGAACCGCCCAGGTCAGGAGCCCTGCCAAGAGCCACCTGCACTGGTGAGAATCCTCGATGACGATCGAACTCGTGGTAAGCAGCCAGGGCTCTGGCAAGGTACTCTTCGCACGATCTGCCAGGCTGTTCTCGAGCGATGGTCGTCATGGAACCTTTGATCAGACTGGTGAGACGATCGATCCCGCCAGTCTGCCAATGAACCTGCCCTGGGGTGCCTAGCCGGACGCCGCCACTCTCGAGGTTCGCCTGAATCGCGTTGCTCATCCACGCCCCAGTCAGGATCCACGTGAAACGCGCGTGGTCGGCCAAAATATGAAATCCACCTGCTCCAGACTGAATGATTACATGATTCCGCTGTCGCCGTTCTGGCTCTTGACCATCTTGAAATGGGCGCGCCCCGCGCCGAGCCTGCTGCCCATGTCTAGATAGAAGCACGCGCTTGCATTGATCCTGCAAACTGGGTTCCCCCCACTCCGCCAGGCCACTCTGAAGCACTGCCCACTTCTTAGGAACTTCGTCCACTGAGCCCGCAAGTCGAGGCGGAGCATGCCTCCGACTCTCGTCGCAAGCCGAACATTGCATATCATTCACATGCTCCGCGATCCTGTTATCCTCACCCTTCGTCACTAACGACCTCGCCACCTGTGAGAACGGACAACCACCGCATGCCGCGTGGATGCGCCTGGCCGAGATCTCAATCTCCCCCAGCGCAGTCTCGTCCAGGACAGCCCCCGACGCCGCCAACGCATAATACATGCCCGACCAATATCTGCGAAGTGCGACTCGATGAACCTGTCGATATCCTGCAAGTCCTGCTCTTCGAGCATGCAACGCACCGCTCTCCGACAGAACTCTCCAGGATAGCACGCCGTCGCCGCTGTCCGAGCCCCCCCACCACCACCACCACCACCACGCCCATCACATCTGACAGACAGTCGCTGACGCACTCTCGGAGATGATGACGAGATCTCCCATGGCTTCATCATGGGTAGACAGTTGTCCTTGGCCTTCACTCCGAACACGCAAACGCCACAGATCGCCGACTGCAGTTAAGCTTCTCAATATCTGCTTCAGCTCCAGCCAGCGGTCTGGCAGGGGGGCCCTGCGGCCACCAAGTGGACATGGCCCCGATCGGATACCTGGTCCATGACCAGGATGAGAGAAGTATGAATGATCGAACTAGACTTCTTCCGGCTCTGTAGCACCCGCGCCCAAATCTCTGGCTGATTCACATTGCAAGTGCGATTGCTGCCCCGAGGCCCGCGCAGTAGGGAATACCAAAGACGGGCGGGTCGTCATCGACTGCGCTCTGCACGCGCACGCTGCAGACCTCCAGCGGTCAACAGATCCCAGCCGTTCCAACCGCAAATTCGAACTGCACTGCCCGCACCTGACCCCTGCTGCACTAACGCAGCAAGACCCGACGCCGGTGAGCAGCAGACCCCCGTTCGCTCGAATCTCGCAGCGTCCGCTAGGTAGGGCCACTCTGGCGCCATGCTCTTGCCCAGGTGCCCCGCAGGCCAAGTCCCCCGGGAGCTGGCGAGGGCCTTCAGCGGCCCTTGCCGGCCTGCCCAGAGGGCCCGCCGCCCCGGGCCCCTCCCGGACCTTCTGCGCCCTGGAAGTCAGCGTCGTCATCTAGTTCTTCATGTCGCCCACCAAGTCGATGATCCGCTACTCCTTGGCCTTCGCTTCCCCCATGTTCGTCGGCCCCTCCGCGCGCGACCTCTTGGCGGTCAGTTTCGTCTGTGAGGGTTCCTCCTTCACCATGAGCCACGCACCATCCACCCTGCCCTGCTCTGGCTTCGGAAGCTCGAAATGAGGTTTGTTCAGCATGCCCTCTTGCGCGACGCCCTCGGAGATGATCCAGCCGGTAAACTTCTTGAAACATCGATCCTTCAGGCTCGCCAGCCAGCCGGCGCACTCCCGCGCGCGCTCCCGGAGGCACATGCAGCCCCTGCCCCCGCGCCCCCCGATGGGGGGCGACCTCCGCCGGATTGACCTGCGCGCCCTTCCCCGCGAACTTCTCGACGATGGCGATCAGTTCCTCCTTCTTCTCGTGGGGCGACGCCGCCTCGACGCTGACCGGCGTCGCCCTGTGTGTCTGACGAAGGCGGGCCCGTGGCATTTCGACCGTCACGTCGCGGCTGCCCTCGCCCCGCAGACACCACTCCTGCCGGAGCTCCGCCTCGCGCATCGCCGAGGCGCGAAGGCGCGAGAACGCGCGGGGAACTGCGACCCCCCCGCCTGGGCCCAGGGCAACCTCGAGCCTGATTCCGAACGCGGAGCACGCAGTTAGACCATGTCCGATGCAAAACTGCGCCACCGAGCATTCCAGAACGCCCCGACACGCCGTCGCTCTGAAAGGGTTGTTCCGAGACCTCCGAGTTCAAGTTCACCTGGGGGGTCGAGTCGCCCACGGCGCTGCTAGAGGAGAGAAGCCCGTCTGGAGGTGTCTCTGGAATCTTCCTAAGCGAGGCAGACAAACTTCGAGTTCCCGGAAACCCATGAGGCCCGTTTAATTTTTATATATATATATACATACATATAAATGAACCCCCTGGACCCCCGACGGCGCGATCTGGGCAATCGACGGCGCAAGCCGCGAACTTCCCCCCGTACTCAGCGATCTCGCAGCGGCCCCCGTAGATCCTCCAGCGGCTCTTCTCGAACACGCAAACACAAAGTCGCTTCCAGACGTCATCCGGTACCCCCCTGGCGCCGGCTGGAGCCCGACTGCCCCGCGGGCCCTCGCTGGGCCTCCGCCGTCGCCCAGAGAGCCGCCCCCGCTTCAGCCCCAGTTGGACCGCCGCCAGATGCCCGGCAGAAGGGCGAGTGAGATGACGCACGAGGGGGCGAGGAAGAGATGATATATGGCGCAACCGCTGGCGCCGTCGCGCACGCGCCCCCAAGCGCGGGCGCCTGCGCCGGCCCAGCAAGCGCTGCCGCGCCCCGACTCAGAATGCAATCGGCCGGCCTCTCGGCGGCCTCGCCGTCGCCCAGCAGGTCGCACGTCAGGTCGGGAAGGAGGGGGCCAGTCAGTCCGCGACCTCTGGAAAGTGACCAGCCTCTGGCGGTCGATCTCCTTGAAGATGCCGACGCCAGCTTCGAAATCGATCACCGCTCTGAGGGAGTTCAGCGCCTCGATAGACACTGGAGTCGGAATGCCTGAAGCGCCCGCGGCACGCGCGCGAAGGCTCGCGCAAGTGACCAGGACATGTAGCTCGACGGCGGCCCTGCACAGCACGCGCTTGACCTCGCCGCCCCCCAACTTGCAAACCGGGCTGTCGCCCGGGTCCACCTCCATCGGCGGATGGCCCCTCGCGATCAGGATCTCACGCAGGTTCTCAATCGCCTCCGCGCCGCCGATATTCTTCGCGGCCCCGCAGTCCACGACGCCGTCACCCGCCGCCGCGGCGCGTGACACGACGCGCACCGTCTCCACATCAAGGTCGTCGAGATCCACGGCGTCCCCGACATCGTCATCCGCCGAGCACGCGAGCTCGCACATCAGGATGAGGCCGTCGAAGCGTTCTCCGCCATCTGCCGGTCGAGAGCCTCGCCGGCGCCCACCCGATAGCCTATCATCGCCTTTGTCAGGACAGGCTCCTGCACGGCGTCCGCCACCGCACTCGAAGCATGGTCCCAGGCGCCCGCCACTGCGCCCATGACCGTTACCTCCAAACTTCTGGCCCGTCCTGCGCCTGTTGGTATGCCGCCGGGCGTCCTGTAACCGGCGTTGGCTAGCCTGCTATTTTACATATGTTTCTCATGCTTCCTCTTGGATCGCGTTGACGCACACCTCATCATGGCCTTCGCTGTCACCTTCCTGCTCGATGGGCTCATTCGCCAACGTAACGTCCTGACTCTCCTCCGCATCCCAGGCATGCGCGCCCACTCCGTAGAACGCCGCGGCCACCACCTGCTGGCGCATCAACTTGGACTTGCGGTAGTCCCTATCCTTGAGATCCTCGTCGCTAGGCCACTGCGTCCGCAGTGCACCTGCTACGCTCGCCACGGCAAATTCTCAACGACAGGAACCAATCACTGCAGCGATCTTGCCACCGCCCAGTCCAGCACGATGCAGAAGATACCAGCCGCGCACAACGCTCGGCAACACCACTGGCAAATCCCGCGTCGGGAACGTGTTCCGGCCCCTGCTGTCGCATCCGCGCTTCCACCATTGTTGAGACCACCAACATTGCTGTCGCCACCAATTGCCATTCGGCACATTCCAATCACGGACTGCATCCAGCTCTTGATCGTCAGTGGCACCCTCTTCACCACCGGGGATACGATGCCAGGAACCTTCCCCCGAGTCCGCTGTGGCATCCACCCAGTGACTGGAGCTGGTAGCTTGCGTAGCTGGTGTCTGGATCGACTCTGATGATCCCACCATGCGTGACAGTGCCACCCGTAGACGCTGGTAGCATTCGTGGACCCGGAAGCAATACTCACCCATACCCTCACCGCGTCTCCTGCGCAGTTTCACGAAGTACTCCTCCATGTATTGCCCCACGTTCTCGACAGGCTGTCGCATCACATTCGTTTGAAGGAACTCCAACAGCTTGTCGGCACCGCAACTCGACGACAGCCAGCCCTGAGGCTGCACGATGCAGGCGGTCGCCGCCGGTCCTGAAAGACGTGCGACCAGCCTGGGGCCGCACAAGTATCTGTCCTCCTATTGGTGCAATCCACGTAGTTCATCACATTCTGCCGGTACCACTCCCATGTTCCAGCACTGCCGCTCCAACCAAGAATCCTGGCCTGCTTGCTTTCCATGGAGGAAAAGCCTGCTCCGCGACCATGTGATGTGAAGTTTCACTCGCAACTCTCTTTCCACCTCGCAACCGGCAATGCTCCCGCCAGCTGTACTCGTTTTCGGGACGTCCTTCGGCGTCTCGTCCCGCGCAAAACGTCACCGCACAATCTGGGAGGTAGGATATACACAAGTGGGGGTGGTATGGTATTGGGCTCTTGGGTAAAAAGGTAAGAGAAAGATGGGGCCTCTCCAGGCCCTGGAACCCTGGTGGTCCTCGGCAAAAGCCTTTTAACCAAAACGGTTGTGGACAGACCGAACTCAGAAACATTCGGACGCCGAAATCGGCATATCGACACCCTCCTCCTCCCCCTCCCCCTCCCCTTCCCCTTTTCCCTTTCCCCCCCCCCTCCTCCTCTAACTATTATCCTTCCAAATAGCTTCCCCCTGTCGCACCCCGAGGCAAGTTTTTAGGGCGGTCTGGGCGTTTCGCCTGAAACTTCCTCACCAGTTATGACCCAGAACCATAAAAACGACAACAGTTTCATACATGGAGGGCGGGTGGTTTTCAAAATGTGGTTCTCGCCTTAGAACCGCGCACATTCGTTTACAAAAACAACGCATGAGCTTCACATATTGCGGGCAGGTGGTTTTCAAAATGTGGCTCTCGCCGTAGCGCCGCGCACATCCTATTAAAACGTTGCCAGAGCTTCACGGATTGAGGGCGGGTGGTTTTCAAAATGTGGTTCTCGCCGGAGCGCCGCGCACATTCGTTGTTTTCAAAAATTGCAAGAGTTTCTCGGGTTCCCATGATCCGCGTACCACATATGGTGTTTTAGAAAGATTCTGGACTAGAGCGCAACAGTTACGTGGATCCGCGGTGTTGAAGTCCCAAGAATCGCGTTCTGGTGCGATTCAGGATCGTCAAGACGCAACAGTCAGGTTGATCTGTGGCGTTGGAATCCCGGGAAGAATACTCTGGCATGCGTCAAGGTCTTCAATCGGTTTTTTCAAACGAAACAGTTCCCCCTATGATATAAATCTTCTATGGGTTTACACTGGTCCTCCTCCTCCTCCTCCTCCTCCTCTTCCTCCTCCTCTTCCTCATGCTCCTGCTCCAGTTCCTCCTCCTCCTCCTCCTCTTCATCTTCCTGCTCCTCCTCCTCCTCCTCCTCCTCCTCCTCCTCCTCCTCCTCCTCCTCATCATCATCATCATCATCCTCTTCCTGCTCCTCCTGCTCCTCCCCCTCCTCCTCTGCCTCCTCCTCCTCCTTTTCCTCCTCCTCCTCCTTTTCCTCCTCCTCCTGCTCATCCTTTTCCTCGTCGTCCTGCTCTTCATATTCCTCCTCGTCATCAGATTCCTCTTCTTCCTCCTCCTCCTCCTCCTCCTCCTCCTCCTTTTCCTCATCACGTTTTTCCTCCATTCGTTCCCGTTATGGATAGCTTTTCCCTGTCGCACCCCGAGGCAAGTTTTTAGGGCGGGCCGGCGGGCCGGGCGTTTCGCCTGAGACTTCCTCACCATCTATGTTTCTGAAACTTAAAGATAGTTCTACTGGGTCCGAGGGGCTCTTTTTGGGGAGGCCAGAAGGGTTCCACCTTACACACTCTGTACTTACACCGCGCCTCAGGCCACACGCACGCCCCGGGGGCCAGCCAAGGGAGGGGGGCCCGAGGGACCGCCTGCGGTCCACGAGCGGCGGCGCAAAAGCTCGGACCAAGGACAGGCCAACCAGGGCGCCCGCCGAAGGGCCCAGCAGCCACCTTGGGGCCGCACGCGCGGGACGGGGGCCGAGGCAGGTGTAGGCCGCTCTCTACTGGAAAATCGCATAGCCAGGGTGGTCTGTGGGAGGGCCGAGAAAGCTATGCAATGCAAGTGCGGCCTCTTCCAAACCCCCCCTCTCCCCCTCGAACTAACACTAGAGAACTAAATTTATAGTTCTACTGGGTCCGAGGGGCTTTTTTTTGGGGAGGCCAGAAGGGTTCCACCTTACACACTCTCTACTTACACCGCGCCTCAGGCCACGCGCACGCCCCGGGGGCCAGCCAAGGGAGGGGGGCCCGAGGGACCGCCTGCGGTCCACGAACGGCGGCGCAAAAGCTCGGACCAAGGACAGGCCAACCAGGGCGCCCGCCGAAAGGCCCAGCAGCCACCTTGGGGCCGCACGCGCGGGACGGGGGCCGAGGCAGGTGTAGGCCGCTCTCCACGTTACTCCCCCTGGCTTAGCCGTGAAACACTCTTCCAAACCCCCCTGCACGCGACCTTCGTGAGACCTGCTTTTTGGGTTTTGGGCCCAAGGAGGCCCACCACGAGGGCCTCGAAAGGCCTGCCCAGCGCCCCGCATGGGCCTGGGACCCCAGGGAGAACGGGCCCCGGGCAACAAAAACAGAAAGGAGGAAGAGTGAAGGAGGCGTGAGGGTTGGGAAGAGGAGGACGACAGTTACATAATACAATGAGAAGAAACGTTACAGCGAGGCAAGGATGCTCGCAAACGCAGTGCCACGCTCTCTGAGGGCGCGAACGAGTTCATCGGACAGCATCTGTTGCGCCAGGACGGCGAGCCCGTCATTTATATAAATGCGGGCCGTCCTGCTGTCGTTCCAGCGCCCACGGTGCACCGTCCGCGCCATGTCGCCGTGAGCCAGCAGGTCGTGGGTAGCTCCTCCCCGCCTCAGCGAGTACGGCAGGAGCTGCAGCGAGCTGAGGCCCAGCGCGGCGCACCCCTGCTTGAACAGCCGCCGATACGCCACGCCCGCCCCCTCCAGGAGCCGGGCGCCAGGCCCACGCCAGCTCTTGAGCGCCTCCAGCGCTCTGCCCACGACGAGATCGTCGACGGTGATGATCTCCTGCGCTCCTCGCCGCGCGCCGCTCTTGGACCATGGCAGGGCTATGACCCCGGTGCCCCTTGCACCGATGGCCACGTGTTCGAATGCCATACTGAACATCTCACCAGTGCGCATGATGCAGTGGAAGGCGGCAATCGTGACGATGGCGGCGTCGCGGCGGCCCTGAACCCACATCCAGTGCCCCAGCGCGAGCAGCATCATAGAGTTCAGCGGGGGCGCGCGGCTGGGCATCTCGATCCGGCCCCACGCGCGGAACCAGTCCCAGGCGCCCGGGAACACGCGCCTGCGGCTCAGGATGAACTGGATGCCACTGAGCGCGTCGCCAGCGAGGTTCCTGCCCTCGCCCTCTAGCCAGAGATGCTCCAAGTACACGCAGAGCTGCTCGTCTAACTGGTGAGGCTCCACTGCGAGCGGCCAGCCAGCCCGTTGCTGGTGTCGTACAAACATAGCAGCTGCACGATGATAACGAATTCGGGTTCGGGGAACAACACGTTGAAATCGCAAGGGCCCGAGCGCGCGCCGCGCCTGAGCCCGACTCGCTTGGTCTGGGTACTGCTGGAGCCGCCTAGGCATCTTCCTGCTGCCTGCGGCTCGGGGCGTCGGACGGGTTGTCACCGCTCCGACAGAACCCCAAGATGGCCACACTCCCGGAGGCCATTTCCAACGCTGCTTCCTTGCGAGCCACGCGATTCAACTGCATGCTTCCCGAACGATGCTTGGCCAAGACAGCAATGGAGACCTGGCTGTCCAGCAGATGCAGAAACTTGCATTCGAGGTTCTTCTCCGCGCGCAGCCGCCACCGGAGCGCTGAGAGAAAGGCCCTCATTTCCAATTCGTTGATGTGAGCCTCCTCGCGCCAGTGAAACTGCACCACCGTGCGCCAGCGCCACCAGCCAGGAGAGATAGGCTGCCGCGGCCAGCCCGAGGGATGGAAGAGCTCACCTGTCGACATGCGAACGTCACTGCCCTTGGTGCTGGTAGACCTCATCACGTCCAGCGCCAGCGCCTGCTCGGGGGCGAATCCGCGGGTGACGAGCGACGCACTTTGCCTGGGCCTCGACCTATCGCGCAGCTCGTCGACGAACGGCGGCGCTGCGAGGACCCCCCACTGCGTGGCCAAGTGCCCGAGCAGCCAGGCCACCACCTCGACGTGGAACGCGTTGCCGAGGAGCCCGCACCTCACGCACTCGGCCTGGCGCGGGTCACTCTTCAGGACGCTGGAGGTGACAGCCACCTGCGTGTGACCTCTACGGTACCCCATGAGGACTTCGCGCTCCTCGGCCGACGGCGGGCGCAGCTGGCCCTCGTGCAGCACGCAGTGCCTGTCGATGTACTGGTAGGGGGGCAGGCTGAAGTCGTCGTCGGCCCACCTCGCCAGCGCCGCGTCGTCGCACTGGTTGATGCCAGCCGGACGCGGCCGGGGCTCGGACCGTCGGTCGCGCCCCACAGCCGTCGGCAGGCGTGCCGCAGGATCAGCACTCGCCGCCCACGTGGCACCAGGCGAGAGCCACCTCGAGGTTGGCCCGGGGTCCGCGTCGACCTTCACCTGCAGCCAGGCGCCCTGGTCGACCAGCGCGACGCCGCCCACCTCGCAGAGCTCGAACGAGCACCAGTAGAGGCGAGGCCGTCGCATGTGGCACACCTGGCTGGCGCATAATCTGAGAGGCCGGACGCCCAGGAGCTCGGAGACCGCGGCGATGTCCTCCTTGTCCGCCGAGTCCACATTCTCGAAGAGGAACTCGCACTGCCAGGACTCGAACACCTCCACCACCAGGTCTAGGATGCGGATGACCTCGCTGATGAGCCCTGACCTGGGGTCCTGCAGGCCCTTCCTGGAGACGTTGAGCCTGCTGAGGCCCTGGCAGGGGAAGCCGCCGATGACGATCAGCTTGCGGCCCCGGGCGCACCCATGCTTGATGGTGAGCAGCACCTCCTTCGAGATCTCCTTCACATCGCCCAGCTCCTTAACGTTCGGCCACGCGTTTCTCGTGACACGCGAGGCCGTCGCATCGGTCTCGGCAGAGACGAACCACGGGGTCTCCAAGCCAAGGGCTCCCCAGCTCTCCCGCGCGCCGCCAATGCCGTCGAAGAGGCTCAGCATGACAACCCCCTCCTCGCTGGCTTGCCACGGGACGCGGCCGACACGCTCCAGCACCTCTTCGCCAGCACCGGAGAGCCCCCTGCTCACGCACGCAGCGCCCCCGCTCGGGCTGGCGTCGGAGCAAGAGACGACAGGCGACACGTGCAGGCGGAAGTCGGTGAAATAGAGCGGCGCCAGCTGCATGGCCAGGAGCAGCTCGTCCATCACCGCCAACGGCACGGCCCAGCAGCGGTGCGAGCGGGACATCCACCTCCAGACCTTCTCGAAGCACGCCATGCCCGCGCGCTGGTGTGAGCAGACCCGGACTCAACGGCCCAGCACGATCTGCCAGTGCTTCTTATTCACACCGGGGCGTCCCAGGACCCACAAGGTGAGGGAGATGAGGCTGACCACGTAGCCGCGCGGCGCCTCCTTCCTCCCCAGGTCGCCGTCGATGCGGTCGCCCAGCGCCTGCACCTCGCTGGCCCTGAGCACGTCCTTGGCAGGTACGCCTGGCGTGCCGCACCGCGCATACGCCTCACGAGCAGCCAGCAGGAGCGGGCTCGCGGTGCCCTTGAGCACCTTGCCGCCCTCGCGCGTGACAACCTCCTGCGCCTCCAAGTTATCGGTGTAGACTTCCCAAGCTTCGACCTCCTGAGCCAGGGCCGTGAGCGGCGCCGGGCGATCACGCCGCCACTCGGCCTCCCTCGGCAGGCTGGCGGACAGCTGCCACCCCTGCCGCAAGATGTTGCGGTGGATGTGCTGAGCGATGCCCGTCGCAGAGATCCAGCCCATCGCCACCGTGGCGCTGGCAACGTACACGCGAGGCTCGCTCGGGCGCCCGACGAGCCGCCCTGGGACTGGGACCTCGAAGGCCATGAACTTCCTCCAGCAGGGCGGCAACCTGAACACGTAGAAGAAGCACTGCCGATCCGTGGAGGTCCATAGCATCATCTCGTGGGCGAGCAAGACGATCGTAGACCATTAAGACGAGAGCGGCAACTGGTCCATGTCGCCGCCGACCACACGCTGCACGACGTTCGACGGGACGAGGTTCATGATGAGCCTGAGGACGTGCCCCATGGTGCCGCCCTTGAGCGGGATGGCGCGCTCGGTCCCCTTGCGCACGCCGAACGCCCCGCACAGCACGGCGCGCCCGTCCACGCGCAGCACATCCTTCAGCGCGATCGGCTCCACGAGGCCACGGTCCCACAGGACGGCCACGAGGTCGTGCCAGGTCTGCAGCGGCGCCCAGATCTTGGCGCGCGGGACCTGGGCCGGTCGCACGCCCTTCGGCAACAGCATCGCATCCGCATCGAGCAGCGCCTCGCGGACGTTCCCCTCGCAGAGCTCCACCGCGTCCACCGAGGCCGCGATGCCCTTAGGCGGGAGCGCCGGCACCACCTGCTCCACGGACAGCGTCTCGGCCGTGCCGATCTCCTCGCCGTCGTAGGCCACGCGCTTCTTGGCCAGCTCAGCTGCCCAGTCCGTCGGCGAGAGCGGCGTGGGGCAACTCTTCAGGAAGAGGATCGCTGCCCGCGCCAGCCTCCTCACGGCCCTCATCTGAGCGGGGCTGGCCGGGCCTGCCAGCACACACCGCTCCTCCGACGCCGCGCAGTTGGCGTACAGGTGGTTCAGCGCGATGATCATCAGGTATACCCACTGCTTGGTCGCGACTAGCTGCGGCTTGTCACTCGCTCCGAATGCGACGAGCTCCTCATCACTCAATGCGAAAAAGGGGAGAGGGAGCAGGTCACGTTGCCTCCCTTCAGCCCTAGGAGCTGGCCTCCCTCCAACAGCTGTGAGCTCTCGCGCCACCAGACCAAGACGAGTGGGCAAAGTCCTGACCAAGTCGAGTAGGACCTGCGGCACGTCCGTGGCGTCGCACTCCTGCACGCCCCCGGCGGCTGCCGCGACAGCGCGCGCGGGCCGCAAGTCAGCTGCTGCTGCATCCTCGCCTGCGCCCTGCCCGAGCGGGGCCGCGGCTGGAGGACCTCGCCCGGATATGGGCGCAGCACCAGGGGCAGGGGCGGCGGCTGCCGCCCGCGGCCGCGCCCGCGGCTCTTGCCACCGCCCTTCGCAGGCCCGCGGCCCTGCCCGCGCCGCTTCGGCGTCGGCGACCGAAGGCGCTGGACCCAGGGCGGCAGACCCTCCGTGCCCGCGTCGCCCCCCTTCAGCTGCACCTTCCTCGTGGCGCCGTTCGCCAGCAGGGCAGGAGGATCTGCCGCGGCGCTCTCCACGGCCTCGACCTCCGGTGCGAACGCCACCCGCGGGCCCGTCGCCGGCGGCGCCGGCCGCGCCCCGTTGCTGGGGCTCGGGCCGCGCCTCGGCGAGGGCGACCGCCTCTCGGGCGACGCCCGACGCGGGGGGACAGCTGGCGGCGCCGCCTCCGCGGACCCTCGGCCCCGGCCCCGCCCGCGGCGGCGGCGGCTGCGGCGGCCCGTCGAGGCGCCAGGGCGCGCTGGCAAGCCAGCGAGGGAGCTGGGCTCGCCCAGAGGGCTGGGCGAGCGGGCAGGTCGCCTCAGGGAAGGAGCGGCTCCTCGCTCCTCGCCCCCGCGGAGTCCCTAGCCCGCGCCACCTCGCCCCTGCGCCTTGGACCGCAGGTCCGCGAGCTTCGCCCTCATGAGCGCGTGGCGCGCCGCCGCCTGGCGCTCGGTCAGACCCTCACCAGCCCAGGCGTCTCCTCGGCGAGCTCCAGCTGGCTCGCCACGCCCCAGTCCTTGTCGCGCACGCTCGTCTCCAACGCCTTCAGCCTCTGCATCAGGAGGTCCCCGAGCTCGGGGAGGCGCCCCTGAAGGAGGGCGTCGAGCGCCGCTGCGACCGTCCTCATCTCCTTCACGGTGTGCACGCTGATCGTGGACTGGGGATGCTGGCCAAAGAAGATGCTCGCGAGATAGGCCATGACCCGCGCCGCGTTCGCCCCTGACGTGTGATCCGCCCCCTCCCGCTCGCCAAGGAAACGGGCCATCTCCGCGAGGCCGGCATCCAACAGGGCTCCGGGTTGCTCCCGAGCGATCTCGTGGATCCTGTTGTTGCCGGAGCCGGAGGGGGCATCGCGAAAAAGCGGGTCGCCGTCGCCGTCGTCGTCATCGAGCAGCGGATCGGCCCTGCGCTGCCTCTTTGTCGCCACTGCAAACAAGTCCAGGCGCGAGCCAGCCTTCCTCTTCAGCGCATTCTTCAGCTCCTCGATCTTGGCCGCGAGCTTGCGCTCGTCACCTCCGCCGCCTGCGCCAGCCACGCCTCCAGCGGCAGCAGCGCTCGGCGGCCCGAAGATGACCTGACGGCGCACCCACGGCTCGCAGATCCCCGACGACGCGCGCACGCGCAGCGTGTCCACGTGGCACACGAGGCGAGCACCAGCGCGGGCGCTGCAGGCCTCCCGCGCCCCGGAGCACAGGTGGACAAGGGGCGGCTGCGCCCGCGCGTCGCCCAGCACGCCCGCAGCGACGGGCGACGACGCACCCGCGAACTCGGCGAGGCCGAAGGTGCCGAGCGCGTCCGCGGCCCACTGCAACCCCAGCTTCAGGAGGGCCGAGCCGTCGCAATTCCCCTCGGCGTCGAAGGTCGGCACCTCGACGATCGCGCCCGGCTGCGCGCCGACCTGCGAGAGGGCCGCCGGCTGCAAGCCCTTGCCCAGCCAGGCCGAGTCGCCAGGGGGTGCCAGCCCCGGGAGGCCCGCAGCGAGGCCCGGCGCCCGCGCCGCCACGCCTGCCGCGGGCGGCACCACGGCCACGCCAAGCCCTGGCGGCGGCCCTCCAGGCGGCGCTCCAGCCGCGGCGAGCCCGGCCATCAGGTCCGCGCCGACGCCGCCAGCGGCCGCGCCTCCGACGCCAGGGTGGCGCGCCGGCGCCCCGCCAGCAGGCCCTGCCGCGCCGTGCTGCAGCCCGGCCAGCGCCGCCTGGATCCCAGCGTCCGTGAGGCGCACGTTGAGGCCGCGCGCCAGCTGCGCCAGCCCTCCGGCGGCCTCGCGCGCGTCGCCTCCACCAGCGTGCGCCGCCGCGACGACGGCCCGGCGCAGGCCGCGCCCGCCGCGCCCGCGCCCACGGCCGGCTGCAGCGGGCGGCACGGCGCCCCCGAGCACGGGCGCCCCAGGGGGCGGCCCAGCGGCGAGGCCACCAGCGGCCGCTCCTCCCCACGGGGCGAACAGCGGGGCCCCGGGCGGCGGCGGGCCCGGCAGCGCGGCGAGGCCGTGCGCTCCTCGGCCGCCAGCCCCCCGACCACGCCCAGCACCGCCACCGCCTCCGCGAGCGGCGCCAGGCCCGGCGCCGCGCCCGGCACGGCCGCGGCCGCGGCCCGCGCCACCGCCGCCCCGCCCGCGGCCCCTCGCGGCCTTGGGCGGCATGGCGGCGCCTGCCCCACGCAGGGGCTCCTCTGCCCCCGCCGGGGGCGCGCGCGAGCGAGCGCGGAGCGGGAACCGCTCCTCAAGCCGAGAAAGCTATGCAATGCAAGTGCGGCCTCTTCCAAACCCCCCCTCTCCCCCTCGAACTAACACTAGAGAACTGCATTTATTGGCAACAGGTTCGCAAATAGAAAGCGGGTGGTTTTCAAAATGTGACTCTCGCCTAAGCGTCGCGCACATTCGTTTAAAACATGCAGGAGATTCACGGATTGAGAGCGGGTGGTTTTCAAAATGTGGCTCTCGCCTTAGCGCCGCGCACATTCGTTTACAACATGTGCAACAGTTTCACGGATTGAGGGCGGGTGTTTTTCAAAATCTGGCTCTCGCCTGAGCGCCGCGCACACTTGTGCACAGCATTTGCAAGATCTTCACTGATTGAGGGCAGGTCGCATTCAAAATGCGGTGTTCGCTTCAGCGCGGCGCGCATTCGTTCTAACCATTTGCAAGCGGTTCACGGATTCCCATCATCAACGCACCGAACATGATGTTTTGAAAAAATACAAAATGCAGGGGGATCGAAAATTGCGCTGGCTTGCTGGGCTGAAATCCCAGGAATTGCGTTCTGCCACGATTCAGGATGGTCAACACGCAACAGTCAGGCTGATCCGTGGCGTCGGAGTCCCGAAAACGATGTCTGGGCATGCTGTAAGGTCTTCAAATGGGCGCTTTCCAACGACGCACTTCCCCCCATTGAGATGAACCGCCGTAAGGGCCCGCGAAAAAAAAAGGGGGTTCGGAGGGCAATGGATTCCAACATCGTTGATGACGGTTGGGTTTACACTGGTCCTCCTCCTCCTCCACCTCCTCCTCCTCTTCCTCCTCCCCCTCCTCCTCCTCCTCCTCCTCCTCCTCCTCCTCCTCCCTCCTCCTCCCCCCCCACCACCCTCGTCCCCCTTCGTCCTCCTCCTCCTCATCCTCCTGCTCCTCCTGCCCCCCCTCATCCCCCACCTCCCCCTCCTCCTCGCCCCCCCTTTTTCTTCGGCAATTCACCGCGAGCTCCTCGAATCCGGCACGGCGAGCGAAGCCGAGGCGAAAACAAGTGGACGAGCCACCCCGACTCGCCAGGCCAGGCTCTGTAGCCCGGAAGCAAACGGCCCGCGGCCAAGGACCTGATTACACGCCCCCCCCCCCCCACCCCACACACACACACACACACACACACACAACCGCCACACCAACCACCGCCACCACCCACACCACCCACCCCCCACCCACCCCACCCCACCCCCCCCCACCCCCACCCCCACCCCCACCCCCCACCCCCACCCCACCCCCACCCCCACCACCACCACCACCACCACCCACCACTCAACCCGAGCCATGGGCTCACAGGCCTTGGTCAGCTTGTGGACTTCAACGGGGCCCGTCCCCCCTCGGGATCGGGCCCCGCAAATCCCACACCGTCACATCAAAACACACACACACACTCACAACACACACACACACACACACACACACACACCACACACACACACACACACATACACACAACACACACACACACAACACCGTTTACATTAATCCGGCGCGACGGCGCATGGACTCGGGCCAGCGCGAACCCCCCCCCCCCCCCCCCCCCCGCCCCCAGAGCACCCCAACTCCCGCCCCCGCTCCGGCCCCGTCCCGCCAACTCCGCGCATGCGCCAACCCTAAAGGTCGCGGAGGAGGGCGCGGGCGGTCCCCAGCGGCGAGCCCCTCCTCCGCCGCCGTCGCCCCCCCCCCGCGCCTTCTGCTGCGCAGCCCTAGCAGCACGAGGCGAAGGACCGTAGAGCCCGCGCGCCTGCACGGCGATGGCCAGGGCCACCGCCATCAGGCGCTGCTGAACATGAAAGGCGAGGCGGCCTCGAGGAGGCGACTGACTGCCTCGGAGGGGACCTGACACTGACGGGCGCCCCCTTCGGCTGCGGCGTCCGCCGACCCATTCGCGAGCCAGAGGGATTCACCTACATGCTCGGGCCTGGAGTGTGACTTGACATCGGTCATCCTAACATTCCTACCTGCAGCTGCACGCCAGAATTCCCTCCGAGCCGAGCGGTTCACTGTGCGTCTATGTCCTGGGCCCTTCCAGAAAGCGTTGACCGCGCATGCACTGCCGACCGCCAGGTCAACGCCCCCTTCGGTATTCTTGAACACATCAAGGGCCCCTCTCAACTCGGCACAAGGGACGGACTGCTTGAAACCAGGGAGGGGCCCCCTTCCCCACGCAACAAATCTAAAATCCCTTATCGCGCTGACACACCAGGCACAGCGGCGCAGGCGAGGCTCGGCTGAGCACGTTCCCCCCGACCCATCCGACCCCGCCACACCCCCCGCCTCGCGCTGAAAGGGGCCCCCCTGCAGGGGCGCCGAGAAGACTGGTTCGGACGCGGCCGCCGCATCAGCAATCTCCTGGGTCCAGGGGGCCGGGGGCAGACCTCTAAGCCAGAAAATCGGGGGCCAACGCCGCCCCTGTCACGAGCTGCCTCCAGAAGCTCAGGATGGGCCCCAGGGATGTCCGCATTCTTGGTGCATTCCCGCATCTGGTGAAACATCGTTTCCTCCAGGTCGCCACAGCGAGGGCACGCAGGGGGCCTGGGGGCGGGACCAGCAATGGGCGGGTCAGGGTGCCCGAGTCCCCAGTCCTCGGGCTCTCCACACGGCTGGCAAAGCAGTTCGTCCTCTTGGGCGGTGAGGTCACACACGCAGTCAAACTCGCCCGCATGGGGGGGGGAAACCCTAGCCGCATCCGCAGCAGCCCCAAGGGGGGGAGGGTTGGCCACTCTCAAGATGGCCTCGCCCGCGTCCTGGAGGAGGGAGCCCGAGTCTAGGTCCTGGGCCCCTGGGCCCCCCTGCCTTGCGGCCCCCACACTTCCCCTCCCGCCTTCCTGCCCGAACCTCTTGGATTTGGGCCACAAAGCCCCCGTGAAGACCATCTGGAGCACAGCAGCTTTATCATTTTCCCGGTGGCTTTTGAGCTTACTCAGGTGCTGGAGCGCGACAGTCAGATCCACCCCCAACACCGCCCCCCCCCCCCCCCCTGGTAGCGCTGGCTGGCCATATGCCAAGGCTTGGCCTCGACTGCACATCCTAGGGCCAGCTCTAGGAGACGGTCGGTCCCCCCTGCCAGCAAATGAAAGGCCTCTCTGTCAAACCCAGAGCCAGGGTTCAGGGGCTTCCCAGCCGAGGTCCAACGTTGGCAACGACAGCCCCGATGGGGCCCTTGATTCTTCCTCATCTGGACTTCGCCTGACTCAAATCGCGCCACAGCTTTTTCCAAGCGAGGCTAAGTGGAACACGGGCCTTGGCAACGATCGCAAGTAGCATGTCCACCCGCGTCTGAAAAATCTGCATTCTGCCAAAAACAAGCGGGTCTTGATTAGACGACAGAGCAAGACGGATGGCAACCGCGGCACAGCCCCCCTCACGTCGCATCCCCGTGAGCCCAGACACCTGGGAGCGGAGCCTGTGGAGGATAGTAGGTGCCAGGCCCATCCCTTCAAAACCCCATGTGGTCTGTGGGAGAAAACCTGGTTTGCTCCCCCTTATCCACCTCCTCCTCCTCCTCCCTCCCTCCTCTCCCCCTATCCCCCTTCCCCTTCTCCCCTTCCCCTCCCCATCCCCCTCCCCTCCTACATCCCTCCTTCCCCGCCCTCTCTCACCTCAGCCCCTCGCTCTCCTCCTCTTCTTCGTTTTCCTCCTCCTCCTCCTCTTCCTCCTCCGCTTACTAATATGATTAGCGTTAGTAGTCGTATTGTCAGTAATTTTCTTATTCGTGTTATGATTACTCTGCTTGGTAGTATTACTAGTATCATGGTTAGTATTAGTATTATTATACGTGATAGCATTATTACTCGCACGATTAAAAGTCTTCTGTGTAGTCTGAGTATTAGTATCGTTCGAACTATGTTCGTCTTGTAAATATGACCATTAGTAGTAGTAGTACTCTTAGTATGATGAGTCGTATTACTGTTGGTTAGCATTGGTATTGCTATGTTTTGTATTCCTCATCCTCCTCCTTTTCCTCCTCCTCCGCCTCCGCGCCCGCCTCCTCCGCCTCGCCCGCCTCCTCCGCATCCTCCGCCTCCTCCGCGTCCTCTGCCCCCTCCGCCTCCTCATCCTCATCGCCCTCCTCCTCCCGCTTCTCCTCCTCCTCCTCCTCCGCCTCCTCCGCCCCATCTGCCTCCTCCGCCCCCTCCTCCTCCTCCTCATCCGTCTCCTCCTCCTCTTCTTCTTCTTAGTAATTTTCCCAACCATCCTGTGGTGTTGGGTCCTAATTTTGAAGAGACGGCGCCCCGCGTTCCTCTCCTCTCCTCTCCTCTCCTCCCCTCTCCTCCCCTCCTCCCCCCCTCCTCTCCTCCTCTCCTCTTCACCCGCCCAGTACACCGTTTCGTGGCTCCATAGGGGGCTCCACCGAAGGCCCCAGTGCCCGCGCCCGCATGCGTCACCCACGCCCATTTCGGCACACCGTGGCTCCATAGGGAGCTCCACCGAAGGCCCCATCTCCCGCGCCCGCATGCGCCACCCACACCCATTTCGGCACACCCCTCACACGCTTCGCGGCTCCATAGGGAGCTCCACCGAAGGCCCCAGTGCCCGCGCCCGCGTGCGTCACCCACACCCATTTCGGCACACCCCTCACACGTTTCGCGGCTCCATAGGGAGCTCCACCGAAGGCCCCAGCGCCCGCGCCCGCATGCGTCACCCACACCAATTTCGGCACACCCCTCACACGCTTCGCGGCTCCATCGGG